TCTGCTGAGTGGACAAAGAGGAAAAGACAAAGCAAGACTTCTGCTCTATAAGAATTGAGGGCATTTATACACATCCATTTGTCTTCTCTGACACCAGAGATACGGCAGTACTGCATTGCATGCATTTGTATAAATGCTATGTTTGTATAAAGTTGACTTGCCCAGCGAGTCTTTCACTTGTATTTATGTATTTGTATAAAGCTGACTCACCTGGCACTGCATCACATGCATTTGTATAAATGGTGAAATGCACGTCAGCACTGACAAAATGGCGGCGGTGCACTTCAGAACTAAAACACTTTCATGTGTTTTAGTTCAAAAGCACACCGCTGCCATTTTCTCAGCATTAACACACATTTTGCCGTTTATACAAATGCATGTGCTGCAGCGCAAGCATATATACACATGTCCTGAGTTGTTGTTTGAGAGAGCTCTCTTTTCATATCAGAAATATCATGAATAGGTTTCAGACCCTTTTCACAGTTATAGACTCTTATTGACTTGTTCTTAAATAACAGGATGGGAAAGACCATAAACTCTTAAGGACAGTGTGGCAGGACTAGTCCTACTAGGTGGTAGTAACAGCCAGTGGCCGGCTAGCCCACCTTCACTCCAACTCTTCTGAACCACTGCCCTGTATCTCTCCTGCCATGCCTTGATGGAACAACTAATTATGCAGGAGATGTCCTGAGCTTTAGAGTGAGGTTTTCCTTTCCTTTTGCTTGGCTCCACCCTTTTTTATACTTGTCGAGGCTCTGACCTCTTGGTCCAGGATTATTTGCTCTAGCTGCTACCTCCTGCCCTAGGTCCACTTATTCTGGCCTTGGGTCCTTGGTAGCAGCACAGCTGGGAATTAAGACCCACAGTTAGGGCTCTGGGTCCCCTTGGTCTGGCAGCCTTGAAGAGGTTAAATTCCCTCTTTCTGATTCTCTTGCCAACAAGAGGCTAATCCCACAGGACCCTTTAAGGCACCTGCAGTGTTGTCTCCACCTCCCCTCACAACCACTCCCAGCCCTCCAGTTAAGCCGGAACAGAAATGTCAGCAACTGCTTCAGCCTAAGATACTGCACTTCCAGGCACTCACAAACAAAACCAATGCAAGCTTAACTCCTTATTCCAGTGTGGCCCTGTAGCAGGGTAAAAGGAGAAAGAAAAAGATCTTAGAGTCTTTATCCACCAGGGCTCCCCTTATTGCTTCTGAGCACTACTGTTTTGGGGTTTGTTTCACGTTTATACCTTTCTGCTTATAGATTCCCTGATCAAAAAGGTCTATCACTATAGAGCATAGTTTGTACAAGGTAGTACACCTTTCTCCTCCCCAGCCAGGGCTAGACGATTTATTCCCTTGAGACTCTCCCCTTCCAATCAGTCTGACCAGTTGTCTGTTTTGAGTACAGGGGCTACTCATTACACTCAGCCCTGCCAGTTGCCTGCCCTTTGGCTGCCTCCTCCTCAGCATGCAGCCGCTCCCCAGGGCAGAGTAGCTGGCTGTTGCAGAGATCGTATCCCTTCCTCTTTTGCTGCTTGCTACCTGGGGCTTCTTTCTGGAGGACCTTGCAGTAACCTTTTCCTCCCTTCCATTCCCTTCTCTCCTGGGTCACAATGATCCTTCTCTTAAAGGGTCTTTGCAAGTCCCGATGGCCCCATAGCCTTCCTGCAGTAACAGGACAAGGGTTCCCTGTTAGAGACAGGCATGAATAGTCAGATCAGTTTAAGAATTTTGCCAAAATTACGACATTCTGATGTAATGCCTTGTAGGAATCACCAAGGATGAATGCCTGGAGGCCAAATTCTGCCCTCAGCATACACCAAGGAAGTCAAGGGAGTTTTCATCCCAGAGTCAGAAACAATGAGGATAAACAATAATTAGTTTCAGATGATGCACCTCAGAAAACCAGTTCCCTGATAAAGAGAATATAATGACTACAGTTGGCTTTTTTTTAAGGGGTCAGCATGAGGCTCAAATTCTTCAGATAGTTGGTCTGGTTGTTTTTTACTATAATGCTTGAGAGAGTTCTCTTGCAATGCACTCTGTGTCTGGGATATGATTCAATAAATTGTATTCATGCTTCCATAAGAGAAATTGAGGACAGAAAAAATAGTTTAGCAGAGTTTTAAATGGCTACCTCTGTCCTTTATCCTTTAAAAAGAAGACACTGTCTGGTGGTCCTTACATCTTATAGAGACAAAAATTCCAGTGGACAAGATGCAGGGCCACAAGTCAAAACGTCTGAGTTCTTGTTCCCATTCTGTCATTTACTTACTGAGAGACTTTGGACAAGCCACCTTGAATTTTCTGTGCCTTAATATCTCTATTTGTTAAATGTGAATACCCCATGTAGTGCTGCAAGAACTATGGACAAAATGCTATGGAAACCCTAAATATTTCAGTCTACATAAGTGTATGTACAGTCAAATACATTATGTCCACTGACGATGAATGAGGGGTTTGTTTTGTTTCCCTTCTGATACCTTTCTGCTTACAGATTCCCTGATTAAGAAGGTCTTTCACTGAAGAGCATATCTTATACAATGTCTCTTGAAAGGTTCTGCTTTTCCTAGCTCTGTAACCATTTCTTGCCAGGCAGGATAGGATACAAATGCCAGACATTCCATAATGCATAAGGTGACAGGCATTTTTGAGACTGTGTACACTATTAATCCATTGACGACTTCTTGCTCATGTGATGGCCCTTGTCCTGAATCCTAAGGGAAGTGAATGACTATGCTTTTGTTCCAAAAAGGCAAACAACTCCAGAGTCAGAGTCCCTTGAGAAGGAGGCAGGTGCTCTTGTATTACAGAAGGCTGTTTATCCTCTAGACCTTGTAACACTTTTTAATTATTGATGTAACACAAAGAGGAGGACAGAGGAAAGCAATTATTTATTCCCACTGTAGAGGGAAGAAAGAGAGCATGTAATTGGTTGTGTTGCCAAAGCTGCTAGCAAATCCTGTAACGTTTATGATTTGCATATTATGGAATTTTATTTTAATGAAAATGTGATCACAAGCAAGTTAGTAGGGATACTTTATTGTGTTACAAACAGAGAAAACCCAAGTCAAGTGAAAGATGGGATGCTGCTGAGTTAAGCCATCAAAAGATAGGTCCGATCTTGTTCCCAGCTTCATTTCTTTTCATCCTTCAGGCAACACAAAGGAGAGGCAATGATGGCTTAAAGAACATCCCTGGAGAGCATGAATCTGGCATAACTGGGTCTATGTCATCCACTGCTGGTGCTCGACAATGTGGCATGCAGGCCAAGGTGTATGGCGCCTGTACTGTGCTCTGGCAATCACAATCCAAATCAGCCCCTAGAGGGTTATTCCAGTAGGTATAACTTAGAGCCATGGCGACATGCTCCCTGCGCTTTAGCAGCAACAAAAAAGTGGCCCATAGCGTAGGCAGCCCCACATTCCTCAGATGCTGTAATGTATCCCAAGCACACTCAACATTATGATCCTGCGTCTTCAAGAAGGCTGACTGAAAGCACTGATTCTAGCCAGTTTTTCTTTTTATAAGGCAAAGATATTTTTAGGTGATATATGTTATTGACATGTATTTATCTTTTATTGTTATTTATTATGATGTTATGAGCAACTTTTCTCCTGATCTGTGTAGCTGCTAGAAATCTTAGAAAGAACCTAGTTCAACACCCAGTTAAATCTCTGTAAGGCTATAACTCCAATGAGGATAATGATTTAGTGTGAAATCAAAGGATTTATTTCATGTTCAGTGGTGATGTAACTGAGTAGATCTGGCCCCTGCCCTGCTTTGTTTTACTACAAATTAGTTATCTTTCTGGAATAAGCTTATTTCCCTGACTCTATTGTTAAACTGTATTTGAAGCTGAAATTAATTCTTATTTTGCAGGGTTTGGTTTCAGAGTGAAACAAAAGTAGGAAAGAAGGACTACTTACACTGAGGAAATGGGAAATGATCTTATTATAAATAAAACTTGCATTCATGCCCTGGATTAGCAAATCAACAGCTATCTGGCACATGCTAAGAAAAATGTCAATGATCCACTTTAAATATTGTGTACTCCAAAAATAGAGTCCAGTCCAGATGTTAATCATTAACCCCACAGCAGGTTGAAGTGTAGAGACAGATGTTCCTGAACAAGTTTTATTTTCTTGAATAAAGAGGATAAAGATATGAATTAGACAAGTAATTTCAGAACAAATTCAAATATTTGCACTCAGTTAGAACAAGACTTTGATGAAATGGGAAAAATAAAATTGTAGCAATTAAATATAATTTAATCTGTATCTCTGAATACGTTTCTTCCAATGATAGCTTCCGAATTTCCCTTGCAGAGTGCACTGTGTGATGTATGGATTTCCCTGACTTATTATGGCATTTTAATCAACAGTTCAATGATGTGATAATATTCTTAAGACAGAAAAATAAAAGTGACATTTGTTTAGACATAATTAATGAAATATTTATGTTGCATGAGACTGTGCGATAAAACCTTGTTCTCTTAGTCCATTTGCTTCTGATTACATTTGTGATTTTTTTATATGACCAGACATTCTGACGCCAGCTATTTTACACTGAGCAGATGTCATGTAGTAAAAATGGGTGCCAGATGCTACAAGCCACATAAGGGTAATTTGTTTAAGAGCTGGCTCATACTTTTTGCATTCAATTACACTGCATGGCGAGTCTTATATAATCATTTAGGTAACACAACTAACTTCAGATATGCATTTTAATAATAGATTTGTTTTTGTGAATGCATTCTAAGCATTATGCTACATAAACGGTGTTTAAGGAATTAATTCATTCCTGCATAATACCTTGCATGTTTAAAAAAATTCAAATACAAGCAGCAGAAGTTTTGGACAGAGACCAACAATTTAATTGACAGCATCAGCCAAATTTCCAAATTAGCTGTAGGTGCAGCCTAGTACAGTTTAGGCCAGGTGCAGCATGTCCATAGAAGTCACGGACAGATACTTTCTGCTTCACTGAGTGTTTTGTTCCTGCATTTTAGGCTCTGAACACCTAGCTGTCAGAAAACAAGTGACTGAGTGTTATTCTTCATCTTCTGATAATGAAATTGAACACAAGCCTTCATTAGCATTCAAGGTAATGTTTACTTTAACAAAGGGCAGTTTTTACTGTTCAGTTATGTTTAAGATTTATATGATTGTGATGATAAAACAGTATGTTTTTCTAAAGAAGATGGAAATATTTTACTAGCAGGGGTTATAACTCCTGCATAGAAAATTTATTGAAGAGAGATGTCAGAATTTGTTCTACCTTTCAGCTCCCCAGGATACACACACATTGACAGGAAAGGCTCTAATTTGAAAAATGGACATGCTTAACTGAAACCACTTTGAAGCTGTGTTTCTTAAGTGGTTTTAATATATAGCCCAATGAGCAAACCATTGAAAAAATTAAAACAAACAGATGCAGATTTCCCATGGGGAAACACAACTTCATTTAAGAAGCACTACAAGCAGAGTGCATGGAAAATGCTATGTTTGTTCTTATCAGAAATATTAAATGAGTCCTGCAGTCGCATCAAAAAATTACACCCCAAAAGTGTCTACTGTATACTGGGTTCTAGCTGGCTTCTGTATCATATAGGAA